AAACGTCTTACTAGTGCTTGCCATGACAAGGGAAGAAAAGATCATTCTTACCACCGGAATGCACGCTTCAAACAAAACAGTCACTTCAAGACGAAGAAGAGGATGATGTGTTCTCCCGGCGCTTCTTTATACTGTGGTCGCACTGGTAGTGACGTCATAGGCTGTCACCGGCCAACGTGTTGTTGTTGTTTTGAATGTACGCTTCAGACACAGGTCATGTCGAGGCGCTCCCCATAGCAACCCCTAGAGGATGCAGTGTCTTGTTCCCTTGAAAGGGAACTTATTTGTTACAGATCTTTCACTCTTCTGTTAGAATTCATTGTATAAAAAGAATATCTGAAAATGTTGCCAAGAGAATTAGAAATCAACCATCTCAATAATAATAATAATAATAATAAATTTTTTGTTCAAAACCAGACAGGAAAGTATTGAAGAGAAAATGGAAGAATTGGAATCAGAACACAACGCAGGCCAAACATGCACTTGCATCACTCGCATGAGCTTCTACATGCCAATATATGCCATAATTCTGACAAATGGGCTTTTGGTTGAGGCAAAACTGAAGTCAGTGGCACTATTTGTGTATTAAGGCACATCTTAAAGAAAATTCCACACCATGTCTAATGATCTAATGTGTTGTTTTAATGATTAAACCAGTTAAAGTGAGCATTACACATAGGCAAATAAATATGTAATGACTGAAATGCCTATTTCTCAGTAAAAACCGATAAAAAATCAAAAATTTATGAACTTATCTTCAACTAGTCCATCAGACACCATTTTTATTCTTTCCACCAAAAGGTGAACCATCTGAACAGGATTGTGGGATATCACATGCATCAAAGAACACATTAATAATGCCTTTAACAGACCAGATAAAAACAGCTTAATAGACAGGACATCATGAAAACATTGGATTCAGACAGTCCTTAATGTCTTGCTACCTTCATAAATCAAGAATGAAAAGATGCATTTGAAAACTTTGTCAAATTGTCCAGTTGTCCACTGGCCGATGCTGGACTTTCTAATGACATTTTCAAAAGTGCGTCTCGACATTCTGTATGTCTGGCAGACTGCTGAATGTATATCATGTGAAGCTGATTCATTGACTTGTTTAGTGAAAGGCCGTTTGAGAAGGGGATTCACTGGGATGATTAAATGACATCCAGCTGGGGGAGGAAGTGTCTTCGATGAGCGTTTCTTGCATGACAATGCAGCATTCTTCATTGAGTTAAGCACTCTGTAGATGGCCTGTCAGATCACATTAGTGTTGACCTGGAGTAGCCTCAAAAACGGCCTCTGTGGAGAGGTCCATCACACACACACTGGGGCAGGGCTGATATAAAACAACACCACACCACTGGTAGCATGCCTCATCCCAAACATTCGGATAAAATGCGATCAAAAGACTGAACAACTTTTTCAGATCTAATCTGTTGCAGGGGTGAGATAACATCTTACTACATACTGTCAAATTAAATTTCCAAATTCCAAATTGCGTCTTGTGTTGGTTTGGGTCGTTTCGCTTTGTTCAGCACATTTATTTAACTTTTACCATGCAATGCATTAAGTAATAAAATGTTTCTAAATGTAATGTAGGGATCCTATTTAAATATATATATGTATATATATATATATATATATATATATATATATATATATATATAATAAATAATTCTAACCCCCAAAGTCACCCTTAGAGGGAATCACAAGGAATCTATAAATTAAATGATATATAATGCACTCAAGACTGATTGGTAAGACTTTCTATCTATTTCATTAAAAAGAACTACCTCATAAGAATCATTAGTAACACTTTACAATAAGGTCGTGTTTGCTAACATTAGTTGACTACATTTGGTAACGTGAACTAACAAGGAAAAACATTTCTAAAACGTATTAATCTTACATTAATTAATCTTATATTAAAATCAAAAATTGTATCTGTCAATGGACCTCAGCTAACATGGATTTGTGTGATTTCACAAGACTTCCATAATAATCCAAAATTTTAAATAAAAAAAATAAAAGATACATGCCAAAAAAACGTAGAAAACAATGCTGTATTTCCATTGTTTGTGTGTGGTGACCTGCTGATATCAGCAGCCTTGCAGAAAGCAGCAGGAAGCGAAGACTCAGCACTGCCTCTGAGAGATGCAATGACACACCAGCCGCAAGCTCCCTTCAACACACCGAACATCTTCACCACACTGCTCCACTCCTGCACTCTTACCACAGAGCACTGCAGTAACATGAATGCAAAATGTAAAAAAAAATCATCCAGAATGATTCTACGAGTCTTTTTATTCCTGACTGATATTGATATTGAATTTTTCTGGGATTCTCCATTAATATGTAGTTAAGCATCTAAATCACATGGCCTGTTTCATGTCCCAGTCTCATTCCCTCTTTCTCTCCATCCACTTTCCTGTCATTCTAGGCTGTTTTGTCGAATAAAAACAATAATAACAAAAAAACGCATACAAATATGTAGTGCAACTTCTAAGTACAGTATAGATCGCGAATAAAAGTTTATTGTAATCTCTGTCCTGTATAGAAAAAGTAAAAAATTAAATATTACAACACAAAATTAGCTGTAGGTCTTTTTTTAATTTGTGGACCGCAGGAATAACACACTGCTAACTGTAAAAGACAAAATGCAACTGAATAGAATTGTCTATACAGTTAGCACAGCAAAATAAATAAACCTCCCTTTCTGTGCTGCTGATGTCAAAGGCCACGAGTCTAATCAAAATCTACAATATTTTGAAACATATGAATCTGTCACCAGGTAGAAACCAGATGTCAACACGGACAGGTTGCATGACATGCTTGAAAACCATGAGTAAAACTACACAAAGTATGGAAAAATACAACCCAGACTGCAATAAATACTGTTTGATTTGCAGCGTGGATAAACTTGGTTTGTGCAGACCAGAGTGTGTTCTGTGCTGCAAATTATCAGCTGCCGACAGAAAACATCATTATTCATGAGACATTTGGAAACCAAACACTCTTACTACAACAACAAAGTAAAACTAAAATATCAGTGTTCTTATTAAGCCTATGTTTTGTTATAACATTTGCATATTGATGGGCCTAGGGGTGGGCAACATGACCAAAATCTTACAGTATATCACAATATGAGTAATAATTTTATTTCACAGTAACACCCATAAATAAACACACTATATTTACCTCTTGTTGGATGAATGTACATACAGTATAGGACAGATGCATGGTAAATACAGAAGTTTATAGACAATTACTTTTCTGACCCTTTATGCCTGGTATTTTCCAATAATGTTTTAAGGAAAATGCTCTACAGTGTGAATAGTATGAATTTTGTATGTATCCACTGACTGCAAGGAATTACACCCTTCTTATGAGAAAACATTATCACAAGCAGACATTTCGAGGTACTGTAACCTCAGTAAAGCCTGTGACATTCTTGCTTACCTGTCATTAGTACCACGGCACACCGCTTACGTGGTGCCCTCATGTCAATATGTTCAATGCTAATTCTGCCATAATGTCCATCAGAGGAGGTCACCAAAACAATCTCGACACTATTGTCCCTCACGCACACTTTGAGCTGCTATGCACTGAGGACAACATCCAATAATTCCTCTGCATGTGAAGCTCTGAAAAAATACAAAGTCTCTAACAAGTGTGATCTAAACAATTTCATTCTGATAGCTTACTGTGGCATCAGATCAAAGTGTGCAGGAGAGAGTGCTGATTAAGTGTTGCCTTTCACTGTTTATCATTTTTACATTGTGATCATTTCGATCTGCTTGGGACGTTTGTGGGACTTTTTTTTCGTGACTGACATAGTTTTTCAATGCACTAGGTTAGTTGTAGTGTCTAAATATAGTTTACTCTTTACCATTATGAACAGTATGCATGTGAAAAGAAACAGCTTTGCTTCTGCCTGTTCGCTACTAAATATGGTTTCTTTCTAAATAAATTAATAATTGTCATTTGTGTAGACTTGCATTATGATGAACACTCAATCAAGCTTTGTCTTGCACGGTAGCTAAAATATATTTGACTGTTTTTCTTCCTCAAGCAAATAGGCAAAATGCCACATGAAATTTTTATAATCATATGTAAAATAAGCAATTAATATACTTCTAGTGAATTTATGAGTATAGTAACAACAAAGCAACAAATCGCTGAAATAAGTTACCCATTTCAACATAATGCATATATTATTGTTGCAGCTAATAAATCTCCAAATGTGTATTTGTAGACAGTAGACACTGAGACTAAAATCACAAGTAACACCCAACAAGTCTTGCTTCATCCATGAAAACATTTTAAAGATCCTGCATGTGATTTCTACTACATATTAAATTACTGTATGTACAGAAAACATCTGCTCACTATGTGATGTATTAACACTATTAGTAAATGTAGATGTACAGCAACAGGGTTAATAATGCAACTCTGCCGCTGATTGGTAGCCTAATCAAGGACTAAATTAATTAGCGCGGGATTTTTTTTATTTATTTTTTTTACAAACAGGTCCACTGTTTAGTCTCTGCAATTCTTCAATAAATAAATGCATGCTTATGCATGCATGCATATGACACTAAGTTACATGCCAGTAGAAAATAGTGACTCGTGTCTCCTCTCCCTGCATTTTAAAAGAAAGAGGAAATCACAAAATAAATTCATTTCCACACTTAATTCAAATAATGAAACATCACCCTGTCTCACATGTATGTCCCCAACCAGCTACTGCACTAAAACTTCATATCAACAAACATAACAGGTGATGAGAGACAATTATATAAACAACTTAACTGTAATAGACATAATCATTCACACGCAGCCGTTGCGCAAATATTGCCAGCCAAACTTCACGTTGGAAAATAGATTCAAAAGTTTGCCAGAATGCAGCTGCAACGCAGTGCAAGTGCTCAACAAAAAAACGTTACATTTTGTGACACCCTTAGTTACTAGTACGCAAGAGTAATAATAAGTATACCTACTTGAGCCAAGGAAACAGTCCGTAAACCTTCGGAAACAGTTTGTGGAAGGCGGACCATCTTCCATGTCTGCCCGCAAGCGAGTGATGATAACTCTTGATATGATATGCGTCTAGTTTAATGTCGACCCACTTTTATAAATGAAACGATCCGACACTGAACAGCCGGATGACATCAAAGCGCGTCAAGTCTATAAGGCGCTATAGAATGCCGTGTTTTACGCGCACTGTAGTATCTACGTCCAATATGTAGACGCGCCCCGTCCTCTCCTCCAAGTATAATGTTGACAAATGAAGCAAGGAGGCGAAGACGGTTTGTCTCGAGAGGAGCCGGAGAACGGCACTGAGAGCGGCGGCGTTCGCGTATCTCCTCCCCGGCTGCGCCGCACTCTGGCGCAGCTGTTCTGCTCCGGACTGCTGTAGTGTGTTTTCCCACTGTTCAGGGGGGGAATGGGGGCGTCATTTCTCAGGGTTGGACATCCTCTTATGTTATAGTGTCGAGGCAGGACGTTGGAGAATTCATATAAAAACAGCGTGTAAGGACAAATGGGTGTTTATAAGTGCTTCCACTAGAGGCCATTCTTCGCTATAAAGACATGTTGGTGCATTTCGGGGTCTTCTGAGTACATACAGCTGGGATTTGTTTCTTTAGCTTCTAGATCTCAAAGTCACAGAGCATATTTTAACACAGGTAATACCGTTGGTGCGTAAAAATCAAGCTGTCAGGAGCCATAAACGACCGCATATTTTGTGATGAGGCAGGCAGCAGATCTGGAGAAATCAACTGTTTGCTGCTGCGGACTGACGCGCTCTGACGACAACACGCGTCAATGTGTGTGTGTGTGTGTGAGAGAGAGAGAGCGCACTCGTGTGTGTGTGTGTGTGTGAGAGAGAGAGAGAGAGCGCACTCGTGTGTGTGTGTGAGAGAGAGCGATAGAGAGAGAGCGCGCACTCGTGTGTGTGTGTGTGTGAGAGAGAGTGTGAGAGAGAGAGCGCACTCGTTCGTGTGTGTGTGAGAGAGATAGAGAGAGAGAGCGCACTCGTGTGTGTGTGTGAGAGAGAGATAGAGAGAGAGAGCGCACTCGTGTGTGTGTGTGAGAGAGATAGAGAGAGAGCGCGCACTCGTTTGTGTGTGTGTGCGTGTGTGTGTGTGTTCTGTTGGCTGAGGGCAAACCTCAGTTTTTCGTTATGGCACAGCTTACTAATGACAAACTACTCCTGCAGGAACGACGTTTTCCCCTTCAAAAATGTATATTTATGTAAATATATAAACTACAAATAGACTACTGTACCATCCGATATTGTATGATTTCTGTGCAAACCTTCGTCGGCACATTTTTTTCTGCAAAAGTTGAAAATTACATTAAAAACAAGCATCTTTAATAATAATAATAATAATAATATATTTAATGATTTTAATATAATGGTATGTGATTCAGGATAGCTTACTGTATGTGATTTCTGTGTTTGTTTGTACACTTCTGTTAGAAACCTTTGTGCATAATTAAGTATCACATCACCTGTATATTGTCCAAATGTATCAGAACCAACACAATGTCAATTACAGCACAGATAATATTTAATCTCCACCGTGGGTTAATAGACTTTTGATTATACCCTATAATTAAAGAATCTATACATCTATTGAAATGCTTTAGGTGCTTCAGGCTACAGAAAGGACGATATTTACTAGTTTGCATTTGCCAAATCATGCATAAAAAGAAAATAAAATCTCTGTTTTCACTGGTATTGGGAGTCAATAATGCACCTTCACCTTTGAAATGTTTCAGTTCATTGCTCCAGTATGGCATGCACAAGTTTGCAGCACAGTTCTTTGTAATTATTACAGGAGTTGGGTTTCTTTTCCAGAATCCTTTTCTACCCTGAAGTTTATTCAAAGGATTTCCTGTATCATTTGACGTCCCATTGACGTCTGTTGGACCCCACACTTTCCAAAACTTAGAAATATTTCTTCATCCGGTGACTGAGCATTCAGACTCTTGGGTCAGTGGAGAAAATAAGAGCTTGCATATTGTTTCTTCATCTGGTAAGCATTGTGCATTTTCAGACATGGGTAATCTATTAGACTTGTATTTAATCTGTTAAGATACATAAATAAGATAGAGCAACGAGTTTGAGAACACATGAGTGTTTTTGTAATGTGACTCCTGTTTAAACAACTAACAAAATTATAGCTTTTAGGATGCTTTCTGGATTGTATGTCTATGTATGTATATATATATATATATATATATATATATATATATATATATATATATATATATATATATATATATATATATATATAACTTATTTTTTATTTTTTTATGCTGATTTGCAATGTGGTGTTTGATCTGTGATGGCCTGACCATCTGTCCAAGAATGTGTTTCCCAAAAACATTAGTAGCTAACTCTGCCAACATACTTCAATGATTTGGTGTTTCAGAAACCAGAGTTCTAACAAACAATGGCAAACAGCATCGCACACTTGTGTGGTAAGAACTGCAGATCTCGTCCTGTTTTGAAGCGCAGTTTCTTGTATGACGTGGACTTGCATAGAACTTGCTCTTGGGCACAATAAGCAAACTAACATGCAGTACATTCTATATCCTTCATTCCATTTAATTGTACATACACCTAAATCTATATTTTAGTGTATTCAACAATCAGTTCCGTTTTTTGTTGTTGTTGTTGTTGTTGTTTTTTAAGAAGAAGAAGATGAGGAATGCACGTAAGGAAATCCAGGAGAATGTGAGGGAACCCACAATGAATCAAACATCAAATTAAGCAAAGTGACAGTGAACAAAAATAGTGAAGTAGTCCTCAGATGCCTAGCTTTTTTAGAGCAGCATCTCAGAAAAATTACGTTGCGAAGCAAATTGTTGACTGAATGAAGCACATGTATAAAGAGATGTACAGCTTATTAATATGTTTAAATAATCTTATACTAGTTAATACCAGTGTTGGGGAAAGCTACTTATAAAAGTAATGCATTACAATATTGCATTATTGTGTTAATTACTTTTCATGGAAGGTAACACGTTGCATTATGTTTGCGTTATCATTTTTATCACCTGGGCTGGGCTTGCTTATTTGTTTTTAATAACAAAAACCCCAAAGGTTATAGTTTTGGCAACTGTAAAGGCCCTTTCACACCAAAGGTGAAATGAATAAGCCTCGCCCTGAAGGAAATACCTCTGTCTCTTCACCTCACTCCCAATTTCTCTCAACACATGAACAGGAGAGGTGTCAGTGAATAAATGGGGGAAAAAAAGTTCCTACTTTTTCCTTTAAAAAGTAACTCCGATATTTTGTTGTAAATTTCAAAATAATGTGTTACTTTACTAGTTACTTGAAAAAAGTAATCTGATTACTTAACTCCCGTTACTTGTAATGAGTTACCCCAACACTGGTTATCACTCCACCACTTGTGTGATATGATTAACAGCATTCCTATATTGTTGAACTAACATGGTTCAAACAACAGTTGTGCAACCAAGTTACAATGATTTCAGTTTTTTTTTTTTACTTGCTAGGTAAGCTAATTTCTCCACTGATGCATCACACTGCACTGGCTGAGCATGTTACATCATTGTACAGCAAACGCACCCCAGGGTGATATCCTTGCCTTCGGCCCAAGACACTGGGATAGGCTCCAACGTCCCTGCAACCTACAGGACAAGCAGTTTGGAAAATGAATGGATGGATGATTGTATATAACTTAATTGCACAGTATTTATCATGACACGTCAGACATCACTATAAGATGTTATACTGCATGGAGAATAAGTCCACACCGAGTCAAATCTTCATAGTACGATAATCCTAATACATTTCCTCTCTTACATTAGGAGGGAACACAGTCAGTTTAAACTTACTAGGTCTTTCAAACCAGAGATCCTGTGTCTGTTTGATTTGACATACGGCAGCTCTCTACTTCACCACTTCATCGCTGCAACCACACTGTAAAGAGCTGTGTATACCCTGGCAGAGCAAATTACAGGGTAATAACTATATGAAAGAACCTGCCCTGTAACACAGTGAGACGCCACATCAGAGGAGACTAACAGTGACGTGGATGGGGAGCTCAGGGCTGATGAATGCTGATCCATTAAGAAAACGTAAAGCAGAAATGTCAGTCGGGACTTTGTGGACAAGACATAGAAAGAGCCATTTTACAGCTACCTCTTTTTCCCATTCTAACCACCCAGTGTTTAGAGCCTGAAGGCAGAGGAAATATTCACAGATCAGACTGCGGTTATTATGTCATGCGGCTTTTAGGGATTTCCTAAGCTCTGTATGTTCAAGTGGTATTACTCTTAACATCAGCGAGCTTAGAGGTGCTGGAAATGAAGATTTGAATGTCACAGTTTTATTGGGATCCTGTAAAAACAATTATTTTGTCTCAAATGTAAAATTTGAAGAAGGAAAAAAAAAATATTTTTGGCCAGTTTTTTTTTTTTTTGCTGTATTCAAAAGTAATGTGTCTCGGAAATACAGTGTTGTGTTATGATTCTTGTTATGGGCTAAAATGATCGCTTGAAAGATTGTTTTGCTTATAATTTATGATGAATTTTGTATTAAACTAGAAAAACACAAAACAGAAACAGAGTGGTTCACTAGCAGACCCCACTGTAAGTATGATCTCATGTTACATTTTTTGTTATATTTTGTAAATATAAAAATTCTGATAATGGAGAAAAACTGAAATATCACATGGTCCTAAGTATTCAAACCCTTTGCTCTCAGACCCTTTGCTCAGTATTTCGTAGAAGCACCCTTTTGATCTAATACAGCCATGAGTTTTTTTGGGAAAGATGCAACAAGTTTTTCACCCCTGGATTTGGGGATCCTCTGCCATTCCTCCTTGCAGATCCTCTCCAGTTCTGTCAGGTTGGATGGTAAACGTTGGTGGACAGCCATTTTTAGGTCTCTCCAGAGATGCTCAATTGGGTTTAAGTCAGGGCTCTGGCTGGGCCATTCAAGAACAGTCACAGAGTTGTTGTGAAGCCACTCCTTCGTTATTTTAGCTGTGTGCTTAGGGTCATTGTCTTGTTGGAAGGTAAACCTTCGGCCCAGTCTGAGGTCCTGAGCACTCTGGAGAAGGTTTTCGTCCAGGATATCCCTGTACTTGGCCGCATTCATCTTTCCCTTGATTGCAACCAGTCGTCCTGTCCCTGCAGCTGAAAAACGCCCCCACAGCATGATGCTGCCACCACCATGCTTCACTGTTGGGACTGTATTGGACAGGTGATGAGCAGTGCCTGGTTTTCTCCACACATACCGCTTAGAATTAAGGCCAAAAAGTTCTATCTTGGTCTCATCCGACCAGAGAATCTTATTTTTCACCATCTTGGAGTCCTTCAGGTGTTTTTTAGCAAACTCCATGCGGGCTTTCATGTGTATTGCACTCAGGAGCGGCTTCCGTCGGGCCCCTCTGCCATAAAGCCCCGGCTGGTGGAGGGCTGCCGTGATGGTTGACTTTCTACAACTTTCTCCCATCTCCCGCCTGCATCTCTGGCGCTCAGCCACAGTGATCTTTGGGTTCTTCTTTATCTCTCTCACCAAGGCTCTTCTCCCCCGATAGCTCAGTTTGGCCGGACGGCCAGCTCTAGGAAGGGTTCTGGTCGTCCCAAACGTCTTCCATTTAAGGATTATGGAGGCCACTGTGCTCTTAGGAACTTTAAGTGCAGCAGAAATTTTTTTGTAGCCTTGGCCAGATCTGTGCCTTGCCACAATTCTGTCTCTGAGCTCTTCAGGTAGTTCCTTTGACCTCATGATTCTCATT